AGGCTTTGACATAGTCAATAAAGCAGAAATAGATGTTTTTCTGGAACTCTCTTGCTTTTTCCATGATCCAGAGGATGTTGGCAATTTGATCTCTGGTTCCTCTGCCTTTTCTAAATCCAGCTTGAACATCTGGAAGTTCATGGTTCACATACTTTTGAAGCCTAGCTTGGAGAATTTTGAGCATTACTTTGCTAGCATGTGAGATGAGTGCAACTGTGCAGTAGTTTGAGCATTCTTTGGGATTGCCTTTCTTTGGGATTGGAATGAAAATTGACCTTTTCCAGTCCTGTGGCCACTGCTGAGTTTTCCAAATTTGATGGCATATTGAGTGCAGCAATTTCACAGCATCACCTTTCAGGCGGCACCAATACTGAGACGGGAGCGCTACCGAGGTGAGCATGGCCCCTGCGCAAGGAGAACATGCAAATTCAGATTAAAACAAAAACAGTCACAGGACAAGGACGTGCGGGCCACAGAGGAGCCATCCCACAGGGCTGCTGGGGGGGAATAGGTCATAGCCACCAAGATGCCGCCCTCCTGCCTGAAGCTGATGAACAACCAGGTACTCCCCGCCTTCCTGCTCTGCGGCGCACTGCTGGTCATCAAGATGTACGTGGTGGCTATCATCACCGGCCAAGTGAGCCTGCAGAAGAGGGTACGTGCGGCTCTCGGGGACCCCCAGTCCACCGTGTGTACACTCACGTCTCCCGCCGCCATTGGGAAGGCTGGCTTCGGGGACCAGAAGTCTTCCCGGCCCTGGAGCATGTGGGAGCGGGTTGGGAAGGACTTTCCCCTCCCAGCCCTGTGGGATGGCTCCTCTGTGGCCCGCACGTCCTTGTCCCGTGGTTGTTTTTGTTTTAACCCGAATTTGCACGTTCTCCTTGCGCAGGGGCCCTGCTCTGAGCCACCAGGGAAGTCCAAGCGTTAGTTGATTGAAATTCCAAGACTCATAAAAAGTTATTAACATTCCCCAGGTTTCGGTTGATCTGGGTACCAAGCATGTAAGGAGGCTTTAAAATCCGAAAAACACCTAGGAAGGTGTTTCAGGCTAATTTTTATCATGGAAACTTTGCTTGTGAGTTTTTACAATTCCTCCTGCCTGATAACAGTTTGTTCTTTGGTTCCCTTAAACTATTATTGAGACCCATTCAAGGACTAGCACTGTGGCCAGGCTTAGATCACAAAATGGCTTAGGTCACAATGGCTTCTCTTGTGTCAAGAAAACTATATATGGTTCTTTTCTTCTGGGGATGCCCTACCCTATCTTACAGCCTAGCCTGTGCTCCGAAGCAGCAGAGACCAAGGAAAGACCTGTAGTAGTAGTGTTGGTCCCTCAGCTGTGTCCGACTCTTTGCGACCTCAGGGACTATAGCCCATCAGGTTCCTCTGTCCATGGGATTCTCTAGGCAACCATACTGGAGTGGGTTGCTATTTCCTTCTCCAAATCTTAATGGCTTATAGACTCTTTGCAACCCTATGGACTGGTAGCCCGCTAGGCTCCTCTGTCTGTGGGATTTCTCAGGCAAGGAATACTGGAATGGATTGCCATCTGCTTTTCCATTGGAGCTTTCCAAACCAAGGATCGAACCCATGTCTCCTGCATTGGAAGGCAGATTCTTTACCACCACGCCACCAGAGAAGTGCTCCAAAGCAGCGGAAACCAAGGAAAGACCTGAGCAAAGGGCAAAGACACTGGCCGTGGACTCTGAAGCCAGATTCAGCTGGCCTCCCTCTGATCCCAGAGCGAGCCCTCAGTGACAGCTGTGTAGCTTTGGGCAAGCAGCTGCCCTCTCTGAACCCATTTATTCAACTGTAAAATTCAGCCAACAGCCAGTCACTCCCCACAGTAGTTGTGGGAACGATTATTAAGCACCTGGTGCATAATTGACCCTCCATCAGTAGAAGCCTCTGAACCTCATTTTCCTCCTCAAAATGGGCATAGGGATGGCTAGTTAGCAGGGTTGCTGGGAGGGAGACTCTTGGAAAATGCCCACTCTTGCTGCAGGTAACAGTGGGTTGGAGGGGTGGGGGAGGGGAGGGGAGGGGCTAGCTTCTTGTCCATTTGTATGTGCCAAGCCTTTCTTTATTCGGACAAAAGATGTGTTTGTAAACTGACACCCATGTCACTGGAGCATGGGGCTGCCAGACAGATTGTCCCAGCCTCATGAGATAAATGGTAGGCCACAATCAAGGACCATCACAGAAAGCAATGGATGTCCTGAAACGTGTTTTATCTCTGACAGGAGACGGGGAGGAACTGTGCTAACTTGCTCATTGCTGATGTTTTGTCTGAGAAGAGAGGCTGCCCACCTCTCTTGCGCTCAGCTGAGGGAAACCACTGGAGGGGCTGTCTCCCTCGTCCAAAAGGTCAGTTATGGGGCAGGGGTCTTTCTCTGCACCACCCCAGAACTGTGGACTGGAGACAGCCAAGGGGAGACCCTCATGTTCATCCCTCCTTGGGCCAAGAGGCATGCTTAGCCTTCTAAAATAGCTAGATAGAAACCTCACCAGAAGAGGCAGGGAAAACCAGGGCAGACAAAGATTACCTACTGTAACCTGTAGCTGAAAATAAAAGGGACTTTGTAGGGGAGGCCCTTCTGACCTACGTGTGTGACTTCACGGTAGGAATCTTTTCCTCATCGTCTGCTGAAATGAACCAGCTAAGCCAGGGCCCAGTAAGGACAACAAACCCTTCTCTGATCTTCTTTCAAGAATTTCCCTAAAGCCTCTCTCAGTCGGCAGAGCTGCCTGTTGTTGTTTTTGGTGGTGGTGTTAATTTTCTCTGAGCTCCAGTTACATTCTTTGCCTGTAAAATGGGATCCGTGCCCCGCCCCCCTCCACTCCTTGCAGGGGGTGGGGAGGGGGGTAGGAGTGGGAGTGGAGGCGGAGAACAGGAGGTGGGAGCGTGCACCATGGGCCTGGCTCTCAAAGCCTCCAGAAAATACAGGGGTAAATGCACAAAAATGAGGGCAAGAGAAGACCCAGAGCCACCCCGGGAGGAGGCCTGCCTCCTGGGCTTTGTAAATATTTTGTCTTGTCCCAGGTAGTAGTTCCACAGGTGAATTTCCTAAAAATTCACCAAGGTATAGTCAAAATGTGTTACATTGCTGTATTAAAAAAAAAAAAAAAGCTACAAAAGTTTCCCTGTCCCAAGTCTGCAACCCTGAGTAGACAGCAGCTGTTGTGTGCCAGCCTTCTTCCAGCTCACCCTCCTCGGCATTTCCCGAGGATCAGAGACCAAGTTCTTCCCGCTGTTTCAATTGTCTGTGACTTCAGAGAAGGCTTAGAGAGACGAGGAAATGGCCCCACCTCAGTTCCTGACCTCAGTCATTATTACTGGGGTTTTCTCCAGCCAGGGATGGGGAAATGCAGTGATTAACTTAAAAAAAAAAAAATCAGACTGTCTTAGCATCATGACTTTTCAGAGAAGCAATGTTTGGGAAATGTGGTGTGTGGTCGACGGGAGAAGCAAACCTGGATGAGTGAATGCTTTCAGACGGCTTTCCCACCTGGGGCAGGGGCCACCAGGTGGGAACCCTGAGCTCCCCTTCAGACGAGCAATTCAAGGAAGGGCTGTTACTTTCCACCTGCCAGCTCACCTCTCCTTTCTGCCTTCCTCTGGGAAATCACAACTTTCCTTCCATTTCCTTGCACCCCAGGGTAGCCATGTGACCAAGACCAGCCAATCACAATGTTTTTAGCATCTGGCCACTGAGATTGGTCCAAGCAGAGCCAATCAGAAACGTTCCCTGGGAGTTTATATTCCCACACTGATGGAGAGATCCCTCTAGCCTCCAGGTTTTGGGGCGGGGGCGGGGATGGGGGGGGCTAGAGTGGTGTCGGCCTGAAGTTGTGTGCAGCCATTCACTCCCGAGCTCTCCCTACGTGGCACAGGCTGTTATTCTCAAGGAAACAAAGAGGCTCCAATCTCTGACTCACCCAGCCTAGGAGTCTAGGCGTTTCCTTTTTAGCTTCAATAAAACATCACTCAAATCACATCCCTCCTCTGCTCCAAACTCTGCAGTAGTGCCCATCTCACTCAGAATAAACGCCAAAGTTTGAACAATGGCCCATGGCCCTAGCCCATCTGGTCCCCGTCTGGTTTTCTATGAACTCCTTTTTCACTCCTTCCTCTCCTCATTCATTCAGCTCAGTCACACTGCCCTCCTTGCTGGTCCTCAAACGTAGACCTAACACTGTCCTTTCTCTGATCCTCTGCCTAGAATTCTCCCTTCCCAGGCATCCATTGCATTGACAACTCACCTTCAAGTCTTTGCTCAAGTCTCACCTTCCCAATCACTCTGAATCAGTTTTGAAGCCTGTCTCCACCCCTAGCTCTCCTGATGCCATTTCCCTATCTCCACTTTTTCTTTTCTTAACACATACCACTCAAAGATACATCAGATAATTTATTTAGTACCCTTACCTGGCAATTCATTCCAGTATTCTTGCCTGGGAAATCCCCTGGACAGAGGAGCCTGGCAAGCTACAGTCCATGGGTCACCAAAGTGTCAGACACCACTTAGTGACTAAAATGCTCTAATACCTGGCTTTCTTGGGCAGGGGTATCTCTTTTGTTTACTAATGAACCACCAGCATCAGTCCCAATATGCCTGACATGTAGACACCACTGTTATTTCTTGAACGGAATTGAACTGAAGTAAGATAATTTGATTTGGATATCTTTATAAATATATCTAGAGTATGAATCTAGTCCAAAATAAGTAAAGTCAAAGAATTTAGTTCTGCATTCCAACTCCTATCTGCTTACTTCTTGGAATTCCCCTGCAGTGAGCCTAGCTGTCTCTTCTGCCCACCAAAAAGAGAGCCCAGGAAGAGGACTAGGTGTCTCTGAGTGGGACTGGCTGCCAAGCAGGTTGGGACCAGAACAAGATTGCCCCAGGACACCTGTCTTTGATAACTATTCAGTTAAGGCTGGAAAAGAAAATGTGATTTTAACTTTGGGTAGTTGGCATGCTGACAGCACAAACACTCATCCAGCAGTGTGGAAATACAGAGGCTGATCTTTATTGACAAGGATAAATGGTTAAGACTGGAAGCCACCTGTCAGTGAATCAGGCTGATCTGGGGCTTCCCGAAAAGCTATGACAAACCTAGACAGCATATTAAAGAAGCAGAGACATTACTTTGCCAACAAAGGTCCACATAGTCAAAGCTATGGTTTTTCCAGTAGTCGTGTACAGATGTGAGAGTTGGACCATGAAGAAGGCTGAGTGCCAAAGAACTGATGCTTTCCAACTGTGGTGCTGGAAAGGACTCTTGAGAGTCCCTTGGACAGTAAAGAGATCATACCCATCAATCCTAAAGGAAATCAACCCTGAATAGTCACTGGAAGAACTGATGCTGAAGTTGAAGCTCCAATACCTTAGCCGCCTGATGCCAAGAGCTAAATCATTGGAAAAGACCCTGATGCTGGGAAAGATTGAAGGCAGGAGGAGGAGGGGAAAACAGAGGAAGAGATGGTTGGATGGCATCACTGACTCAACAGACTTGAGTTTTAGCAAACTCCAGGACATAGTGGAGGACAGAGAAGCCTGGCATCCTGCAAAGAGTTGGACAGGACTTAGCTATTGAACAACAACAACAGGTGGTGCTACTGATAAAGAGCCCACCTTCCAATGCAAGAGATGAGAGAGACTCGGGTTCGATCCCTGGATCAGGAAGATCCCCTGGAGGAGGGCATGGCAACCCACTCCAGTATTCTTGCCTGAAGAAACCCATGGACAGAGGAGCCTGGTGGGCTACAGTCCATAG